CACGGACCACTAGGGGCGCTCACGGACCACCAGTAGTCCGCCGACCACACTTTGAGAAGCACTGCTTTAGCGGGTAGAAGCTAGTAAGCCAACTATTGGATTTGTTTTTAGATAGCATGACATAACAACATGTTTCAGACATTATTTTCCTGTTCCATGTTAAAATAAAACATTTTCAGTGGTACCGCTGAGAAAGAGTCCTTTTTTTGGTCATGGAAAATTAGGTAACGGTCCTGGAGAAGTCATGGAAAATTGGTGAAAAAGTGAATGAACCCTGTGTTTAGTTGATTATAGTGATTCATGGGAGCAACACATCCAAGTACTCTCCCTCCACATCATGATCCCCTTTTTGGGTGAAAACATTAGCTGTAGTTTGTCCGGCAGCAAATACAGTTTCGATTTCAATTACGACGCTCAGACAGGCAAACAATGAAATGATGTCATTGGAGATCGATGCGTGACGATCATATACAGTTCAATTGAAAGCTGTAGAGGATCGATGTCCTGTCAGTCTGCCGGTAGACTTCTTATTTATTATTATTTGTATTTATTATTCATTCATAATTATTTAATCACTTATTTATATTTATTTTAAGCTATTGTCTGCTCGTACTGTCCTTATTTGTTGCCTGTACGTAATATGTGCCTGTACCTTATTATGAATGAAAACCGAGAACTAAACTAACTAACAAACAAGAACACTTGCAAGGTTCCTCAGGTCTTTCACTCTCACCCAATTTCTCTTCATCTGAGACTTTAAGAAAACCGCTTCTTTTACATTTAAAAAAATATATATTTTCTGCATGTTTTTGTATTTGTCACTCCTGGTGAACCTCAACCAACCAACCAACCAACCAATCAATCAATCAATCAATCAATGAGCCACTTTATTAATCTCGCGTGGGGCATTTGGTTATGAGCAGCTTATGTCCACAGGCAGGAAGATACAGGAAGAAAGCACACGGATACACCCAGGAGCCTGGATGTGGATCATTCCAATTTACACCATATAGTCCGTAGCATCACAATAAGTAAATAAATAATCAAGTTTAAAAAACAACAACTTTTAACTGGATTAAACTTTATTACCGTAATTTCCGGACTATAAGGCGCACCTGAATATAAGCCTCAGCAGCTAAATTGAATGATGTGTACATATATAAGCCGCACTGGACTATAAGCCGCAGGTGTTTTCATGTTTAATTACCATATGTAAGGGTTCGTGCACAGAGGGGATTGTCGGGAAAGAGATGGCTGTTTGAGGAAGCTCCCATTTATTAACATTTCAACAAACAAGTTGCATATTTGCATAACGTATTCAAGTGTTAGCATTTAGTGCAATAGTAGCTACAGAACATGTGCTGTGTAAACTGTACTGTATCACATAGCGTTTCAGACACACAAACTTTTCAACTTTCAAACTTAAACGGTGCGCTCCCAGCGCACGTACCGGCAGTGATCTACAGCAGTGCTTTCACCAGTGGTACGGGGAAAAACTGCTCGCTCTCGTAATGTCTGTCTGTCTTGCTACTCAGTTCCTGTCTCTCGTACCACTCTCGGTTCCCACTTTTACTTTTGCGCGCTACCTGTCTCACTCTTTTCCGGCCCTCCAAGCTTTTTCCTGCTGGAGCCCGCCGTTAAAG